AGCCCCTCTGCATTGCTGCCCAACCTCTGGGAGGCACAGACCCCTCCCCCCCCAGGCAAGCTTCCTGTTCCCCCTCCCGTCTCTGAGGTCTAGATCCCCAAAGGTGCTTTGGTTCCTAACTCCAGCAGAGCTCAGGGCAGGAATAGCAGGAGGCTGCAGGTCAGGATGGGGGGGAGGAGCCCCAGGCTGGGATAATGGGTTGGGGTTGGCAGCATGGGGTTATGTAATGTGGGCGGACGTCCGCAGGAGGCCTAGACCGAGAGCGTGATGCTCCCTATGGCCTGAGCTGGCTGTGAACGGGCATCTCCGATGCATTGTCCTGTTTGTATCCAGATGCACCCCAGTGCCGGGGGAGGGGGGCTGGAGCTGGGGCACAGGGTCCTCCCCCACATCCCATCACCGATTCTTGCCCTTTCCGTTGTCCCTGGCTAGACTCCTTCGACCAGCCTGCGGGGGCTTCGCTGACCTACTCAGCCACTGACCTGGAAGGAGGCTGTGCTCATCCGGGCCCGTCTGTGGTGGGGAAGCCCTGCGGGCATACGGCTCCCCCTGTCGTGGGCCAGATGGGCCTTTGAGAAAAATGGTAGCTGCCACCCCAGTCTGGAGTGGCCCTTCTTCACTCCAGCTGAGGGCTGATTGACAGCCTGGGAGATGGGCTTTTCCACACGGTCTGCTGAGCCTGCCGCCTCCTTCCCAGCTACCCCGGCAAGCAGCCCATTGCTCCAGAGGGAGTTCTGCCGGGCAGGGACCCAGCAGCTGGGTTGGGACAGTGCCCCGCTGTACCCGTGAGCCACAGACTTACCATACCCCTGCTGCTGCCCCGGCCTGGCAGGATGGAGAGGGCTATAGGCCCAAGCTTGCATAGGCGCCAGCTGGGAAGAGGAGGATTGGACAGCCCGGAGGTAAGAGGATGAGGGGCCGGGGGCCATCTCTCTCCTATGACCCAGGTCCACTTGGGGCCACTCTCCCAAGAGCTCAGCTCCCCTTGGGACACCGTACATCCGTGTGCACGAAGCCTCTGGGCCACAGGAGCCATGCGAAAGGTGGCTGTGCCCTGGCCCTCGAGCTCCAGCCAGTGATTTCAGTGGGGGCGGGGGGTTGGATATAGTGGGGCTGGCTGGCTGGCTGGGAAGGGGGATCTCCGGCTGGGTGGGGGGATGCACCAGCACATGTTGTGTGTGCGCGTTCCCTGCGTGGATGCATGGTGTGTTTGTACGTTCTGTGTGTGTGTGTGCATTCCTTGGGTGAAGTCCTGGCCCCGCTGAGCTCCGTGACCAAGCCCCTTCCTCTTGCTGTGTTGGGAGGGGAGGGTTTCTTGCTGATATTAAAATTAGTAAAACTCCAGTGGGTGGAAAAGGGGTGTGTGGGAGAGACCAAAAGTGCCTGCGCTCAAATCGAACGTGCAGCATGTCTAAGGGTCCTGGGCTGGGGGTGAGGGGGCTGGAACTGAGCTGGGGGGACACGGGAGCAAAGGCCACTAGGCTGGGAGTGGGGACGGGGAGACCAGGCAGTCAGAGGGGCTGGAACCATGTATATAGTATGGGGGCTGAGAGCCATTGAACCAAACTGTAAACCCTGCATACGATGGAATGCACTTCAAGCCAGAGGGCACCGGAGCGCCCCTGCTTCCAGCACCTATGTAGGCGATGGGATGGGAGGGGTGCTGGCCTGTCCCAGCCCCGCCCCCTCTCTGCAAAGCCCTCCAGCTCCCTTACAAAATAGGCCTGGAAGCGAATTCTCCAGTGGCTCCCACATCAGCTCAGCCTTGGCGGGAGGAAGGAGCTCAGCCATGGGCGGTGGGTATCATAGGCCAGGGGAGGCTGCGGCTGCTGGATGCCCAGTTGCTGGGTTTGGCGGCAAAGCTTTAGCTTTATTATCCCCCATGCAGGTTCCAGGGTGGCTGAGGAGGCACATACAGTACAGTACCGCCTCCGTAGCCTCCCCAGAACCTGTGTGGGTGGAGCAGACCCAGCCCGGAGGGGACTGTCCGCGGGGATCCTGCCCTTGCAGACCCCATGTGGCTAGCCTTTCCTGGGGTGAGCAGGGCTGGGGAACTCCCTGGGACCGCTGGCAGAAAGGCAGGGCTGCAGGACCGGGTCCAGGCTCTGCTGCTGCTGGATGGCAGAGCCGAGGGCGGAGGGAGCTTCCCATGCACTATGCACACCAAGTTCCCCCTTGGTGTGTTGGGAACGCAAGTAGCGGGGTGCAGCCACTAGGGGGTGATCACTGTCAGGCTGATCAGGGGGGACATGCCAGTCCCAGCTGGGGGAAGGGTCTGCTCCCGGGAGAGGGTCGGTGACTGTGTGCATGGGGGGCTCCCAGGTGAGGATGAGGCAGTGGGGTCATTTCAGGGAGGTGGTGGACCCGGATCGCACCTATCCCCCCTCTTCACCCAGCTCAGGCATGTGCCACCCCCCGCCGAGCGGGCCCTGGATTTGAATAGCCCAGAGCTGAGAGTGTTCGGACCCGGGGGTTTGGTTCAGCTTGTTACAGAGCCAGGAGCCGCTTGCCAACCTTGACTTTGGATCTGGTCCCAAAGCCAGGCCGGGCAGGAGCAAGGGGGAGAGCAGGTGTTTCCAGCCGTCTCTGAAAACTAACCATCGCATCTGTATGTGTCACGGGTCAGAGCAGCCTTGCTCTCCCTTCCGTCCTCATCTCCTGCTCCAGTGGGGCTCGGGAAGGTGGGATTCCACGCTGGAGAGGAAGACTCAGCCACGAACGAGTGCCGGGCTCTCTGGGAATGATTCAATCTAGTGTTCTTCCTTTGGCCGTTGGAGGGAGACAGCATGGTCTGATGGGCTGGGCACCAGGACTCCTGAATCCTTTTCCTAACCACTGTGTGACCGTGGGCACAGATAGATGGGGTCCCTCTTGTGGCATGCCCAGCTAGCAGGGGGCTGTCTCCCGGATGATGCTTTGGGGTCCTGGCTGGCTCCTGGCAGTGAGGCTGGGTTATTGTGTGGTCCCTGCCATTTGAGTGGGGGGTGGCGCTGTGATAGGTGAGCTCAGCGCTCTGCAGACTGGCCCAGGGAGCACCTCAGACGTGCTGGGGTGTTGAAGTTGAACCGGAATCACTACTGGAACCGGGAATCTGTCCCCTCTGTAAAGTGAATCCCCTCCAACCATGCCCAGTCCTGGGGTCTTCAGACCTGCTGAGCAGAGGGAGGTGGAGCTGAATTGGAGTTCACCACACAGAGGTGCTGGGGCAGGGGGCTGGAGTGGGTTTGAAATGTAAAAACTGCTCTAGAAATCCCAGAGGCGTCCATGTTGCATCTTTCCCCTGGGGTGGTGGTTAAAGACAAACCTGCGCTGGGCAACCTGCTTCAAGGTGCAGTGTCTCTTAGCTACCTGGTGTCAGTGGAGTGACTCCAGATCTAGCAGCTCCATATCTACTAATCTATCTGGATCAGTGGCTGCGCTAGAAGTGAGCTCAGGCCCCACAATGGGGAGTGGTTTGCTGTATTTGGGCCCTGTGGGGCTTGGGAATGCGGGTTTGCTTCCAGCCCATCTTCAGTCCCTGTCAAAGATAAAAGGGTCACGTCTCCCTTGGCCAGTGGAGTGGTCAGCGCAGTATGGGGTTAGTTAGGTCAAAGAGTCAATAGGATCCGTATTAACCCTTGGGCCGCCAGAGAGCTGGTTGCTATCCTCTGCTCTGGGCTGTGTTAATGTGTCTGGAGCCCCAGAGCACTGATCCAAGTGGGATTGTCGGTGCTTGTACAATCTGGGCACAACAGGGACCCAGTCTCTGCCCTGACAGTCCTCTAGGACACTCAGGCTCTGGAGGATCATAGGAACGCCAGGCACAGGCAAACTGATTGCTAGGACTACCCCTACACACACCCATCCTGGGGCTTTTTTCACTGGCTGCCACCTGACTAGCTATGTGAAATGTGCTTCTTAGTGGCTGGATGAGCAGCTGTCTGCCTCCTGCCCTGTCCATGCTGGGGGACATGTGTTGTGCCATCCTGCTGGTGTCCTCTAATGGGTGAGCAATGGGACTGAGGACCCCCCGCCTGTTCTCGCACTGAAGACAGTGAACAAGCCAGCTTGCCAGTGACTCGAACAGGGGCAGGATCAGGCCCCTAGTGAGCACACCAGAGCTCACGGCTAGCTCCCATGTTGAGGCCGGCCCTGTGGCTAGGAGGGATTGGCACAGTGCCCTCCCTCTCGGAAGGCTAGCCAGTGGTTTGGACCACGATACAGGATCATGTTTGAATAGCATCAAACCACATTCGGGTGACAAGCAGCCTTGGGTAGTTCGGCCCCTTCTGCACGGGACTGATCAGACGTGACTAGCATGGCCCCCTGCCGTGTCACCGCCGCTGGCCCAAGCCCCAGGTCTTTGTGTCCCATGATCTCATGGATGATTTTAAAACCTGGGCTTAAGCATGCTTCAAACTGGGCTGTAGCCAGTCTAGTCCTGCTACCCACCCAGTCCCTGCGGGTGCTCCAGCTGGGTTTAAAGCATGTCACAATAGCGGAGATGAAGCCTTTGGAGGAACATCCCACCCCCTCCTGTTCTTCCCAAAATCCCGGCCCACAGCCCGGACGGGAAAGAGCAGCTCTCCAGCCCCCCGCAGGCGTAACCCACGCGGGAGAATGTGTTATTGGCTGCTCTTCCTAAGGCTGGCCGCGTAACGCTTCCCCTCCTGGGGAATCGGCCAGCCAGGCTGCTTCTAGTGAATTCATTTGCTCTTCTCCGAGCTTCCTCCCCGCTCCTTGGTATGAGGGATGGGCCCGAGCTGCAGAACCCAGATACCGGTTGTGAGCGCCCCCAGGTTCGGGACTGTTTGGATCAGAGTTCCCATGGAGGCTGTGGTGGGTGCGCTGGCACGGAAAGCCCTTTGGATGGCAGGGGGGCTGGCTGTTTTTTCTCTGGGAGCCCTGGGGGTAGGAGCTGCAGCCTTGTTCTCCTCCTGTAACACACAGCACTTGCGGCTGCGCTCAGTGGGGGTAACTCTCTCTCTCTCTCTCTCTCTCCCCTCCCTCCCCTGCTTCAGCTGGGATGAGAGCAGCTCCATCAGCAGCGGCCTCAGCGATGCCTCTGACAACCTCAGCTCGGAAGAGTTCAACGCCAGCTCCTCCCTCAACTCCCTCCCGTCCAGCCCCACGGCTTCCCGGCGGAACTCGGCCATAGCGGTACGTGTTGGCCACCCCGCGGAGGTCGGGACGGGTCCACCCCCTTTGTGCCTGTTCAGCGCTAGCGAAAGGGGTGGGGCGGGCAGACCTGGAGAGGGGCGGCCCATGTCCCAGTGAGAGCGCCAGTGGGTGGGGGATGCGCCAGTGACATGGGCAACTGGTGGCTAAGACTGCGACCCGCCATCTCACCACAGATGGGGCAGTGGCGTGCAAGGACTTTGTGTCTGCCGATCAGGGCCAGCCCAGCTGACGCCAGTTAGAATCGCTCTGTTGACTTCAGCCGGGCTGCCCCGACCTGCCCGTAGAGGAGCTGGCCCCAGAGCCTGCTCTGGGTTATAGAGGAGTCTAGGCCATCAGAGTGTGGGGCTGTCCCATTTCCCCAGCAGTAACGCTGCATCTAAAGAGTTTGTCTCCAGCCCTGGTACAGGAGCAGAATGAGCCTTTGTGGCAATAGCACTGGGGCGAGTCAGGATCCTGGGGTCTCTTCCTGGCTCCGGCACTGACCCTGCATGGCCTTGGGCATGCTGCAGAGAGGGAAACTGAGGCATTGGCTGGGGCAGCGACGCACAGCGGGTTAGTCGTGGAGCTGGGAAGAGAACCAGGACCCCAGCCCCTTGCACCGTCCTCAAGGGTGAGAGGCCTGTGATCTAGAGGGGAAGGCCCCTGCGTTCTCCTCCCCAAGCGGCAGCGTCTCCTGGGCGGGCGGCAGGTGGGGTTGGCAGAGCGTGGCCCCCCTCACCTCTCTGTCCCCACCCCGCGCAGCTGCGCACGGACTCAGAGAAGCGCTCGCTGGCCGAGAGCGGGCTGAGCTGGTACAGCGAGGCGGAGGAGAAGGGCCCGAAGAAGCTGGACTACGACAGCGGCAGCCTCAAGATGGAGCACGGCGCCTCCAAGTGGCGGCGGGAGCGGGCTGAGAGCTGTGATGAGGCCCCTGCCAAGGGCGGGGAGCTGAAGAAGCCCGTCAGCTTGGGCCCGCCGGGGTCCCTGAAGAAGGGCAAGACGCCCCCGGTGGCAGTGACCTCGCCCATCACCCACACGGCCCAGAGCACCCTCAAAGTTGCAGGTGAGGCTGCAGCGGGAGGCGGGAGGGTGTTGGGTGTTCCCACCTTCCCACGCCTTCACTGGGTTCGGCCAAAACGGGCACGACCCCTCCAGCCTCAGGAGTGAGATGTGCCACAGACGGGCCCGGTCTGTGGAGTCAGGGCTCCCCCTAGTGGCTGGCACGGGGATTACGCCAGCCAGCTACTCCCTTAGCTCCCGGGCAGGGGTTCGATCCCCCTGGCTGGCTGAAGCGGCTGTGTGCTCAGGATTCAGCCTGGGGATCGGCTGGGAACCTCCTATGATGAAGTGGGACTGTTCTTAATGTTTCCTCTAAATACTGTGTGGGTGCCTCAGTTTCCCCTATGCATTTCTTAAGTCTCTAGGTGGTGGGGAAAGGCTAGTGTGCATAAATCACTGACACTCTGTCTCCTTGGCAACAAATGGCCATGGCCCCTTCCCCCCCCTGCAAGGAAATAGTTAAAGGTGAACAAAGAGATCAGGTGACCTCCGGGTCCAGGAAAGAAACAAAGCCGAGAGAAGGAGGGGCTGGAGGGGGTTTGGGAGTTGGAGTGAGGACTAGGGGACTACCTGGGGACTAGGAGTGAGGGCAAATGTGGGTGTCTGGCTCTCTGAACCCCATAATGGACCCGGCTGAGGGGTCCCATTCGCCGCTGTACCTACAAGCTCTGTTTTAGACCGTGTTCCTGTCATCTAATAAACCTCTCTTTTACTGGCTGGCTGAGAGTCACGTCCGACTGCGAAGTGGGGGGTGCAGAACCCTTTGGCTTCCCCAGGACCCCGCCTGGGCGGACTTGCTGTGGGAAGCGCACGGAAGGGCATATGCTGAATGCTCCCAGGAG